CGAGCGGTATGTTTATTGTTTAGGTTACTGGGATACGTGGCAGACAAGCAGACGGACTTTCCTTAGAAGGGAACGCTAATGCGTGTCCGGTCTTATTAAGAAACCTTTTAGCTTTCTAGAAGGTTCGAAGGTCGTATCCGATCGATAATACCAAAAACAATAGACTACTCTATAGTTTTGCAGTACATGGTAGATCGGCACCGTGGATCGGCATTATTAGTTTTATAGAAACAATGCTCCTTAACGAAGTAGATTTTTCAATAGACATAAATTCATAAGCGCTAAAACCTCAGTAAAAAGTTACCTAGGTACAGCATTACCGAGACTTCTACAGAATTAAACTGCATAAATAAGGGAAAAAATGTAAAAGAAATTTTCCACCTTCGTGGAGCGTTCAACACTAAAGTCCACTTAAAAGTTCTCTCGTCGTTCAAACGGAGCACGGCTAGTAGCTGTGCAGTTACAAGTGAGTAGACTAGTAACTAGTGCTTGGCGAGTACTGTGCATTTGCCAAGCACCTAAATTTAAAAACAAAAAGATTTGCCTACACTTGAATTGGGCTTTTTTGTCCCATGGTCAATCGCCCAGAGTATCAGATTCTAGGTCGAGGCCACGGTGCCTCATTGCTGTTACCCCGCAACCCCGGCTGAATATCAGCCCTGTAGGGCGCCCTCTGTGGTGGTTACGCTAAGCGCCGTACTCTTGAGTCTGGTTCTGGTCGGGAGCCGAGCTACCCATACTCGCTGCCAACAGACCCGCGCTTACGGTGGCCGGAGATATACTCAGATTGAGCTACGTATAATTCTTTTAGCATGCTAAGTTGTATAGTGGCTCTTGTGGTCACTCAATGAAGTAAAATATGTACATAATACAAGAAAATACATCGTTGCTGTCGAGAATGGACTGGTTTGGTTACTTGAAAATATATCTCATATAATCATTCTTCCACCATGGGAGATACTACGAATGGCAATGTAAGACCCTTACTGACTAAAAACCTCCCCGTGCCTTCTCCTGCTCCAAGGTAGGGCCACGGTACAAAATTCTGCTTAGTTATGTTGGATATAGAGCTCTATTAATGTAAGTGCTAGTACATCTACTAGCTAATAACACCTACTGGCATAGATTCTCGTCCTGAGATTCAACGCAGAATCCTCGTGAACGAGGTGCCACAAAACACTTGAATGTGAAAAGTTTGCTTGGTCACGCCTCGCTTGAACGTTACTCTACTTTGAATTCTAGTTAACATAAATACGTACTTGTATAATATGTATCTTACGCTGTTCTTAGAAAACAACAAACGTTTAAGTATTAAGCAAATCGGCGTGAAGGAATCTCATCATCAGTAGTAATGGAGTGCTATTTTAAATGTTACAGTCGAGCAGATTAATTATCTTATGGTAAGCTCGCACATGGTCAACGCAACATCAAAAGAGTCACAAGTGCGTTGCAGGTCTTTTGGGATTCGGGAGGTAGGTGGAAGGGAAAGGATTAGACCTCTGGCAACGCCGACTCAAACGCCGAAAACGAACGCTGTGGTTGTTTCACGCCAGCTTTCTGTCAGGCCGTAGTGTTCCTCCGATCGAGCCGACCCATTCATACCTAAGCATGGCTCTCTTACTTCCTTTCCTTCTTAATAAACCATAATATTTATTATACGAAAATAGATATAAACTTGGCAAATTTCATGCTGATACCACGATCAGAAAGGTGTCACGTCATTAAGATTCTTAGATTTTAGTACATAGTTATTATTATTATGTTTCTATACGCTACCCCTATAATCGCTAACTATGTTTTTTCTTATGTGGGTGCGTTTAGAAACATAAATGTGATATCCAAACCCGGAACAACAAATTGTCGATCACACAAAGACTTGTTCCGTGCGAGAAACAAAGCCGCAACACGTTGCGAAGTAGCCAGTTGTCCAGCTACCGAGCCCACGTTGGAATCAAAGTTCGATACAGATCGACCTAGTAAAAGCGTGTTTCAAACATTAGTATAAGTCATTTGTTTTAACCAATATCTTCAAATATTTCTTTATGCTATGCCCGATATCCAAATCACGGTATCTTTGGCTTCATAAATACTTTATCTATAAGTTTAATCACAAGCCTCTCACAAAACACATGACTAAATTGGGCAATTAAAATTTGATAAAGTAAATAGGTACTCGTATAATATTCAGAGCAAATCATTACTTATGAATATAGTTCCTAGAACAGTCACCGCAGTTGCCGCAAATTATTATCAAATTCAGTGAAACGAAAGGTTTATTGATGCTTATGTTGATACTGGATTTATAAATTCATTCGTCTGTGTTCATTGGGAACGAGGAATCCTTTAAATGTTTAAATGCTAATCATTATAATAAATGTACATAGATTTTAATTGCTTAGAGTTCCGTGTCAATATTGTTTTTGTTAATCAATTCAACCCACATCATACGGCACCACTTTATATTTTTAATCCTCATCATTTATTATAACTCTCGTTAAATGAATAAAATTTGTTAATGTATGATAACTCATGAAATTATCTGAATCTGAAATCACCCTGAATTCATCTGGCTTCTTGAAAGCATGGTCACAGCTACTGGCGGTTAGGGCTCCAGAGACGGAAACTTCCTCATAGCGTAGGCCTCCTGCGTGATGCTAGAAGGAGACACAAGTCTGTATAGGGTCCCTGATTCCCAATAAATGAATTATTCGTATAAGTTTCTTACTCACGTAAATCCAGATCGATGTCTAAGGGAAAAGTGCCGAAAAGATTGCATTGCCACGTTGTATGGCATAGCTTATCCTCTGTCCGAAAAAAAACCCAGATTTCTGGTCACGAGATGCGTCGACCAGGTATTTCGAAATCTCTTTCAATAAACTATGTTCACTCGTGCTCTATGGAACTAAAGCCTCAATTCCAAACGGCCCAAAAATATAATTATCTATAAGGTCATTTTATGCAAAAAGGACATACTTGCATTTGTGTATGAATTGCATAACCAAAGCTTTTACTAAGAATCGCATTTTGTATACAAAATGTGAACATTCACTAATGAACTCTACATCTGAAAGTTAGACTCGTGATGGGTGTCGAGTTTAACTTTTTAAATTGGCAGTTTAGCACAGTTAACTAAAACTTAAGTAGCGTTGATCGCCCCATCAGAAGCTTGACGTTCCGCATCCCTCTTTCGCGTCACAACACGAGTGGGTGACGCGAGAACCACGGCGTCGAGCGCAGAATTTTTATAACTTTCCTTCTTATTCTGCAAGTTTTTCTATATTTTTACACTATGTAGTTTGCTCAATAAGTATAAGTAGATTTGGGTAAATGTTGTGCCAGTCGTTTTAACACAAACATTTTTGATTCCGATTCGATCACTCTTTTAAAGACCACGAGATAATCGAATAAAATAAGCCGAATATAAAACAAAATCATTAATTAATTTTATTCAGCATTCCATTTACCACCTTACAATATACATTTCCGTAATGTTAAATTATTCATTTCGCTTACCGATTCATAAATATTTATTACCGAAATTTTTCATTAATAATTTATTCGTTTTCGCATTTTTTATTCCATTTTATTATGTTATTATTTCATTTTATTGGAATACTGTCAGCAAAAGGTTGATTCCTCAAAATATGTTAAATTTTAATCAACCTTCATGTTGCGCAAATTTAAATAAAGAATGTTGAAGATCGAATCAATTATTCAGTTATATTTTTTGATATTCAAAATACCACCAATCAGCATCGCTTTAGGATCAAACTTTAAATTTCGATTTCAACACTCACATCACTACATGCGAGTGCCAGCCAGAGTGGCGGAATGTAAAAGGAGCGGCGTTTTTAGTCACTAAGAGTCTGCTGCTCCCCCTTGTCCCATCCAGGGGAGAAGTCATTTGACGATTTTCCCACTCTAAAAAAAGGAATTCTAAACCACAACACAATGGCTAGTTACATTCAAATTTAGTCAAAATGATCTTTGAAAAAGTTTGTATAGAAAAAATTGTCCCTAGTTTTGGGATGACAAAAGAAGTCACAAAATTTTTACATCAATAGAATTAAAATGAACGGTTTGCATGTACAATAGACCGAAAGCCTACCTAGACGTGATTTAGTGAAACAGTTTCGCCTCAAAAAGCTATAAATCTTTTTATCTTACTTTGTTTTTCACAGGAATTTCAGTGATATTGTTGTAAGTCCATTGAAATCTGTACTGTAGTTTTTTGATGAAACTTTCATTGAAAGGAAACACACAAAGGCACTTTCTTTTAAATTGATAACTAAACGAATATGACATATGCTTTAATGTTATATTTTGTTTTGCTAAATCATTGTTATATTTGCTATGGGAATTATTTGATCAACGATTTTAAATCTATTGCTGAAGTTTTAAGTGTTATTTTTGGAATACATTTTACGTATTTTTTTGTTTCTTATGTCTTTATTTCACTGATATGGCTTCATTAAGTGATAACCGTGTTTTTATTTGCGAATTTGTAACAAGAATTCAATCGTTTGTCAAAGTTTTTTAAAACTAAAGTATGTGTAATAACATCTATATATAAAACATGAATCGATAAGTATGTTTGTTGGCTAATACCTTTTATTGTTATGATTGTTTTTATCCAGAAAAGGTTCTTATAAATGAATTTTTAAGCCTTTGACTGCCGACAAAAAATTGTTGAAGGCAAATCCTCCGCTAACGGAGGTCACCGGTGACCTCCATGGCACTTAACGTGTAAAAATAATTGTTGAGTATATTGGAAAATAGCGAACCTTTGTTAGTGCGGTTGCTGGACACCCGTGTAATGTAGTCCCTTGAGGGAGCTAGTAAAAGATAAACTTAAACTAAAGAAAACTTTAATAGTTTTCAAAAGTATCAATTAATACGTTTCTCTTAATTAAACAAAATCTTCAAACAGAAAAAACTTTATATTTAACACCTTTTATTGTAATATTTCGAAGCAAATAAAAAAAAACAGTTCCACTCACCAGAAATCCATGTTCCATTCCATCGTACAGGCGTCAGCTCCTCAGTCAACAGGTCCTGAATCCTCAGCCGTCTGCCCTTGACCCTGGGCCCTTCATCAGGAGGAGTGAGGAGGACCACGGAGGTCACAATGAGGGCCAGCACCGCCACTATAACGAGCAGTGCTATGAGGATGCCCCTCCAGTTGCGTTGGTTCGGACCTCCGACAACCAACTTCTGAAAACAATTGGGACATGTTCAGATGATTCTGGAATGTTCTGTTACTTTTGTGGTGTGAAGAACATAGTCTATATATACTTCTATACTATAATATATTGAGGGTGTGGGTTCGAAACCTGGCAAGTACCAATGTGACTTTTTTCGAGTTATATGTACTTTCTATGATTATTTAGACACCACTGACATACGGTGAAGGTAAACATCGTGAGGAAACCTGAACTTATAATTTCTAATTATAAGTTTGAAATCGCCAACCCGCATTGAGCAAGCGTGGTGATTAATGCTCTAACCTTCTCCGTGTGAGAAGAGGCCTTTGCTCAGCAGTGGGCACTTAAGGTTGATGATGATGATGATGATGATACTATAATATAAAGAGGTAAAATTTGTAAGTTTGTATGTTTGTAAGTTTTTAAGTTTGTATGTAGGGGGTAATTTTGGAACAGCTGGTCGGATTGCCAAAAAAACTTTCACCGATAGATAGCTATAATGTTCCTGAGTGCTATAGACTATAAAACGTCACGCTACGATCAAATGGAGCTGAGCAGCGGGTGAAACCGTGCGAGAGTAGCTAGTTACTAAATATACTGATTAGTATGGTTCAAATAGCCATTTCTTACGGCCTGCCTAGCCGTTTAGCCATTTCTCATTCAGGCTGTAAGTTGAACAGTGAAGGTATAGTCATAAAAACCGAGTTACTACCAGCATAATAAGTTAGATATGTTAGAACTGCGATCTACACGCAAACCGGATCACCATTACAAATAAATAGCTTCTCATATTGTACAGCGATCAAAGGGCTAGCTAATTGATTGGACGGTACTTTTAAACAGAGGGCTCTACCATGACGCTTTAACACATCATGGTAGGCCTACGGTCGCTGCGACATATACAATATATAGTTATCAAAAAAGCGTGTAAAAGTCCAACATGACTTTGTTAATTTTGTATCCTATTAATACATAACTAAGGAATATTTTGTAATTTCCTATTAACAGTCATTTGATTTAAAATCGCCAGAACTGAATCTACTTATAAATAATAAAAACTTATTTAGATTAAGAAGGAGAGGAGTGTTTCAGTAGAAGTTCTTTATTTTTCTCGAGTCCAATGGAAAAGTTGCAACTTGGTACTTGGCACTTTTTTACTTGTGTGTTTTTATTTGTTATACAAACAGCATTATCCAAAATGTTAGACGAAAAGTCTTTGCAATTAGTGAAACACTTATGAGAAATATAAAATAATGTGTATACCTTATTGGTTTCTTATTTAAACAAACAAATAAAGAAACTACATTAACATCAAACCAACAAAAAGAAAAATACTGAAAAAACAGGAAAAAGTTTAAAAAATACACAATTAGCGTCATTGCAACGTTCAAACAAAGAATTTATAACTGGCGATATGGAACAAAAAAAGGGATCCGCATTACTATTGATAAGCGTCCATACGTCATAGCCATTCATTGATATCATGAAAAGGGTTCGATATCGTGTGTTGTCCAAAATGATGGATTAACGGGGTTCAGCAACGATCAAACGATGTATTACTTGGTTCAGAGGTTGGAAGCGAGGCTACAAGAACTGAGTTTGACATGTCGAGTTGTTGGGTAAATTATTTTTTAGGGTTTTGTTTAGGTTTGTATAGTAATTCGTTGGCCAGTCTCTGTCTCTGTCTCTGTCTCTGTCTCTGTCTCTGTCTCTGTCTCTGTCTCTGTCTCTGTCTCTGTCTCTGTCTCTGTCTCTGCCTCTGTCTCTGTCTCTGTCTCTGTCTCTGTCTCTGTCTCTGTCTCTGTCTCTGTCTCTGTCTCTGTCTCTGTCTCTGTCTCTGTCTCTGTCTCTGTCTCTGTCTCTGTCTCTGTCTCTGTCTCTGTCTCTGTCTCTGTCTCTGTCTCTGTCTCTGTCTCTGTCTCTGTCTCTGTCTCTGTCTCTGTCTCTGTCTCTGTCTCTGTCTCTGTCTCTGTCTCTGTCTCTGTCTCTGTCTCTGTCTCTGTCTCTGTCTCTGTCTCTGTCTCTGTCTCTGTCTCTGTCTCTGTCTCTGTCTCTGTCTCTGTCTCTGTCTCTGTCTCTGTCTCTGTCTCTGTCTCTGTCTCTGTCTCTGTCTCTGTCTCTGTCTCTGTCTCTGTCTCTGTCTCTGTCTCTGTCTCTGTCTCTGTCTCTGTCTCTGTCTCTGTCTCTGTCTCTGTCTCTGTCTCTGTCTCTGTCTCTGTCTCTGTCTCTGTCTCTGTCTCTGATTGCGGCTCGTGGTCGGGTGTCATGTGTATGTGAAATTGTATTTTTGTAAACGCCCCCCCGACGTGAGTAAATACTAGTGTGTAACAACGTATTTAAAGAAAAAAACGTTTTTTTGGTCCGTCACTGCAGCTATCTTATGATATTTTGATAAAATGTGAGTAAATATTCATTTTAATAAAAATCAAATCTTTTTGTGATGATGATTGAATTTTAACCTAAAACGCTAGGTGGCAGTAAAATCGATGAAATATTACGGACCTTTTCCTTATACTCGAATAGGCACAAATGTTAGCACCGTAACCATGACAACCATGTGACCCATTCTATGGCCGACAAACGTGACGTCACAATGCGTATTTTCGTGAGTTTATTCGAGTTCCTTAAACATACTTTTCTAAAATAACACTTAATTTTGGTTTTTGTTTACACTACAAAGTATAAAATAAAGTCACTTTTTCTGTCCCTGTATCCTATGTACGCCTTAATCTTTAATCTCTTTACGTATCTTTACGTATTATGTTTTTTTTTTCGATAAATAGAGTGATTGGAGACTAATGTATGTATAATAAAATTTATTAAATAGTAAAGTCAAGTAGGTACCGAATTTTGTAATCTAATGCAAAAACTATTATATTTACATGAATTGCAACATTCCTATTGCGGTTGAGTTTTATGTTTTTAACTAAACATCTCTGTGGGCTGATAAATCTCCATATTATACTAGCATTACCTCCTCTAAAAACCGGGGAAATCCATAATAATATATGGAGCGATAAAAATTACCATATACGAATTCTAAGTAATTAAATAAAATAATAAAACTCTAACAACCCAGCATATGAGGCGCTGTACCCGTTTCCCGCCAAAATGTCGGCCGTTACAGCGAGTTAGTGTTGTACTCGCAACGATAACGGTTACATAGGGACGTACTCACACTTAGTTTTATACCGTCTGCCCATAGACAATTTGTTTTAACGCTACGTTACTTTTTAAAGGCTATCTCGGCTCTAACGATGGAGTGGAGAATTCACCTGATAAGTAGGTAGCGTAAAATAAAATATACAGTCTGTTGTGTTTAGTTAGGTGAGTAAATTGTGGGTTTTCTTTTATTGTGTTAGTTCTTTTGAAGAGGGACGGCTTGTTGGATGGAAGAGCTTTATTTAAAAGTGAAAGTAGTGAATATTAGCTTCGGTTTTATAAATACACTTCATGCATGAGTAAGAAATATTTAAGTTTCATTTTTATAGCTAAAATACTGCTTGTTAAGCATTCACGTTGCGGATCAAGCGCGATAATGTACCGCGGTCTCGGCCTTGAAAAACAGAAGGAAACAATGGTTTTTAGTAAATAAGAGCCTGATACTCTCTCTCTCTCTCTCTCTCTCTCTCTCCCAAGGCGAGAGAAATAATTTGATGATTTAAACATCTCCATAAATTATACTTATTATACTTTTAGGTTATTGAGAAACGGTCACATTAGTGTAACAATAACCTAAAAGCTACTAGTCTAACCTAAAAGCTACTACTGCTAGTACAGAGTGAACATTAGCTAGAAAACCTCAGTCACAATCACACCTCTTTTTCACACTGATTCATGGACTCTGATGATTTCAAAGCATTGGTGAGTATTAATGATTTTCTCTTTTAGTATTTTACGGACGGTGTGTGACCCAAAATTTACCAGGCCTTCATAACTCAGTAAGAGTTCGCAAAAGTATCTCAGTGGGGAATAAGGGAAACCACTACCAACAAAAGTCCTCATAGCGTTAAAATACGTCCAGACCAAGATAATACTTTAATCTTTTCAATTAAACTTCTTAAATGTTTGTCGGATTAGAAAGCGTAATCTGTGGGATCATTCCAAGAAGATTGAGTGTCTTACAAGTTGATTCTTTATTCCCTTTTTCTATTTCACTTTTGAGTACTGCAGTAGAATTGTGGTATTGTTTTCCAATAACTACCAACACTTAAGTGATAAAAAAAAATCAAGACTCTCTTCTCCTAATCTTAATTAAAACCCTATACAAATAAAGAAGGTAGAAAACAGATCATGTTCGATAATACTGTTTAGTAAAAGTTTTTAATAAGCGTATTATAAATAAACCATAGTTAGCTCGGATTTTATACGTCTAGTTAATTCGCCTGCTAGTTTGCCCCTTTTTCCACATGGCGAGACCTCGGATGTGCCAAAAATATAGCATCATTTCGTCATCATCACCAGACTACAAGTGTCTTAGTTTAAGACCTCTTTGAGCATTAATTACAACGCTTGCTCAAGGCGAATTGGCAATTTTAAACACAGAATTGGAAATTATAAGTCCATGTTTCTTCATGGTGCGGTGTTGTCCTCTATCTTGTGTCAATAATGTCAAATTAAGTTCAGAAAGTAGCCACACTGTTACTAGCCAGGTTTCAAACCCTTCATATTTGCAGTGAGCATCTTATATCTAGAACCGCATCTCAGCAAGCAACTAGCAAATTTAGGATACCGTATACAACTTCTTGGCAGTAAATGTTGATTAAATTTAATTTCCCTTACTGCACTAACTGACTTCCTTAAGGAGCTAAACTATCTCTAAACTTCCGTACTTAACTGATCCATGTATCTTAAGTACATACTGCAGTTAGAACTCTTATCTTTGCATAAACATCCAACATTATAGGGTCATTAAGACGTTACGTCATTACTGTGACGTCATAACGTAGATGTAGAAAAATCCTTCTAGAATTTTCTTGTATACTAATGACTCGTTTATGCAATGGGCCA